TTACTTTCGCATCACAATGTATGGAAACGGAGGTCATTTTTGAACTGGAGAAATGAAAATTGTATAAAAAACGTGTTTAATCATTTCGTGTCTTTTTAGAAATTACAAGACTTCACCTCCAAGAATTCAAGACTGCTCCAATTCAAAAGTTTTTTGAATATGTAATCGAACAATACTATTATACTCTCGAACCACTATGAGATAAGGTATCTCTCAAATTTTTTGAAAGTTCGAAAGATTCAGAGAATCAACGTGATGTATATATTCGTAAAATTTGTCAACTTGGGTATTTGTCTTCAATAGTTATTTCAGATGTGGCATGGTTCACCTCAAAAAACAATCTGTACAAAAAAAAATACAGGATATCATGTATGTTCACAAATAACGAGTAAAATGTATTGTTGAAATTGACATTCCGATCGAGTTCCAGGGGTGTTTTTCCTAATTTTACGTCATTTCATATGTAACTTCAATTTTTTATTGTTTCTCCCCAAAAATGAAAGAATCTCATTTCAGGAACGTGTTTATTGAACGAATTTGCAAGAAATCCATTCGAAACCAAAATACGAGTATTCTGAAACTGGTAAAAACACATATAAATATAGTTCAGCTCAATCAGGTGCAAAAACCTTATCCCCCTTTCATTCATGAATATTGAGGACTGAAATATTCACGAAAACTAGTGGAATACTCAAACTTTACGACGTCATAAAAATGTCGCACGCGGGTGATAAAATCACGGCTCTTGGAAAAAATCCATATCTTCATCAATTCTGAACCAATTTTCATAATCCTGGTAATTATAGTAATAAATGCGGTTATGAAATTGACTCGAGAAAAAACTCGAAATTTTGAAAATTAAAGGTATTTCTCATTATAAATTGAGAGGACAATAAATTTGACAATGAAATCAAGTTTTTGACCGCACAGTTCGGACGTAATTAAAACTTCACCACTGGTTCAATTTCTTCATAGTGCTATCTGTTTACTGGAACCAAACAACTATGTTAAAATACCTTGTGAATTCACTTCGAAAACAATATACTTCAGGCGAAATTGTGTGTTGAAAAATTCAAAAAGTCGATGTTTTGTTTCAAAGATAGGGAAATTCAGGTCTCGTTAAAAAACACCAGAATCAACTCGTTCCAGGGTGCCTCTAGTACGTCAATTCTACAGATATTTTGGTCCATATTTGCGATCATTAGCAATATCTCCCGAAAAAAACAATTTCTCGCATTTTTTTTCCAAGTACCGGGCACTGAAAGACATATTCACGCAAAGCTTCAACCCTATAGGTGCAAATATCTTAAATTTCTGAAGTTTCGAATTTTTAATTGCTCATATTCGGCTAAGTTTTGACCGGATTTGGATTTTAAATTTCGCAAAATGACCGTCTCAATAAGTTCTATAAACAAAATTTACCAAATCCCATAGGTTAAATCATAACAACATCATTACATTCTGCTTTTTAGATATCAGGCTTGTGTTGAGCGAAACAAAAAACAAAAGCACCACAAGAAAAACAATCCAATATTGTGTATAAATTGAACTGTGGAAGCTGTTACGAATGATATGTTGGTAAAAACCGGACGGTATCCTGAAACACGAGTTTCAGAACACATGAGCGACTCTAAGAAACTGAATATGGACACATTCTTGATTTTGATTATCCAACTATTCTACATGTTCAACCATATTTATCAAAAAGACTTTTGAGCGAAATGATACATATCCTCAAATGCGATAGTGTTAACACTAGAAGAGATGTCGATGGCCTTAATACTGCATATTTCAATTTGATACGTAAAATACCTGAATAATTTAAACTTTTTTCATCCTTTTTTTTCTGTCATTGATTGAAAAACAGACACCACCTTATCAGAATCACAGATAGAGCCATTCGTTTGTTTCATGGAAGTTATATTTGTGAAAATTCGTTGTTACAGAGCCCTGAATTCGAAACGTCTGCAAAAATACATTTTTTTTTTAAATTTATCCTGTCATCCAACCAACCCCTTTTTCAGATTAATTATTATTTGCAAGTATCAAGCGACACATGATATTACTCTTTTGAAATGATTTCCATAAAGAATTTGCTAAGAAAGTCAACTCGAATAAAATCAACTTTTATCACGAAGTTGAATATCGTGTATTCTGCGAGGAAAAGATTTATTGAACAAGACAGGAATATACAAGAGTTTAAAGCACTTCTGCAGGAACTTATCGGGAATGTTCCGAAAAATAATGGCCGGGAGGGAGTTTGTTTCCGAAGTCTTTAATCATCGTTAATTGGGGTGGGTGGTTTCTGTGTAAAGGTCGAATTAATCAGTGAAACTTTGGTAGACAAACTTTTCGTCAGAGTAATTAATTCACACAAGAAATTAATTGGAGATATTTTCATCTATCATAATATAAATTGTGGTGAACAAATGGCATCGCTTAGTGTCAAGATACTAATTACGGAACATTAGTTAGGATTGCGTGATTGAACTTATCATCTACATTCAGCGATGTTATTATGGCAATGTGATAGGATTCACACTTTGGGAGTTGGGACCTTGCTGCTAATACTCATTGTCGTCAGTAGCTCTAAGTATATCGTTAGTAATGGGAAGTAAAACTGTCATGGTATGGTGCTTTGTACGAAATCCAGATTGGGTTGACAGTAGTATAGTCGAAGTAACCTATATTGTGAATAGTTAAAGCTGTCAACAAAGAAATGATGCCGCTGTCAACTAGTCCACGTCGACTGAAGAATTGGCCGTTCGTATTGGATAATTTTTACTTACCGAGTTTTATAATTGGCTGAAGAGTCATAAAATCAAATTTGAAGTCATTTTACGGTGACGAATAGAATGGGAGGATGGTTATAAGAGATGTGTTGTCAATGTTCAGTTCAGGAACTGATCGCGATTTGAGTGTTGAAATTTGATATTGGTGCAGTTATAATTACTTAAACATTTTGTTATCTGTTTAAAATATGGCGTCCTTGGACAAGTACTAATAGCAATAACGAGTGTGATAACAACGTAGACTTCTTTCTGTGTAGTGATTTCAATAGCGATGGTGGACAATGCGAAAAAGAGATACCAGTAAAAAAGATTGGGATGCATTTGAATATTGAAACACAGATAGTATGTTTCAACGTATATAAGAATCTACATCTCAAGTTTGGTTTTGAGGGAAACAAACTATTACAAGCAACATCAGATTTGACCGAAATTCCTTTCTCAACTGCACGTAAAAGAGTCAAAAACAAACCTTATGAACGCAAGACGCGATATGATACGGGATTACCAAAACCTTTAGATGTTCATCTGATGAAATCATTAAAAAAACAATATACTACTGTTACGAAAGCAATGAGATTCCTACAACTGATATCATGAGGAAGAAAATAGGATTTAGATTCAAAATAATAAACAAACGTCAAGCAGTTATGGAAAGCAAAAGAATAATGGAATTGCGTAACAAATACTTAAAACAAATGAGTAAATATAGACAAGAACAACAGCAAATTTTCTATTTGGATGAAACTTGGTATGACACTCACGACACAGTTACGAAAGGGTGGACTGATGGTTCGAGAATGTGTACGCCTAACATGCCTGCAAATAAAGGATCGCGACTAATCATTGTGCATTGCGGAGAAAGTGAAGGATGGGTTTCAAATTTATTGAAATTATGTGGAAAAAAACTTGAGGACTGCAATAATGACTATCATAAGAACATGGAAGCTAATATTTCTGATAATGGTTTGAAAACACATTGATCCCAAATTTGGATGCCAATAGTGTAATAGTTCTTGACAACGCTTCCTATCATTCGTGACAGCTCATCAAACTACCGAATAAAAATTCGAGGGAAGATGAAATACAAATTTTTTTGCATTTTGAAGATTACTATAGCAACAACCAACTACTTGAAGTTTTACAGATGAAAACATTTGAAAAAGTGTATGCCCTTGAGAGTATTGCTGAAAAGTATGGACACACCATACTGAGACTTCCCCCTATTTTTGTGTTTTCAATCCAATCGAGTGGATTTGGGGAAATTCATCAGGCGTAAAAATAATTTTTCAAAATTTGATAAGAAGGTAGTAGAGCTAGTTAAAGAAGAAGTATCTAATATTACCGGAGAAGACTGGTAAGAAAGGATTGAAAAAGTAATTTTAGTTGAAACAGACTATTATGGAGATTGATTTAAAAGACGACAGTGATAGTGAAATAGAGTATATGAATCCCTACTGTCCCACTCAATATACGGGTTTCGCTCCGTGTTCTGTGTATTTTATCCTCATAAGGATCATTTTCACAACGTTTCGGCAAAGTCTCATTTGCCATCTTCTGGTGATCTGTTTTTTTTTCAATCAGAGTGATTAGTTCGAACTCTGTGTCTCAATTTTTGGTACAGATATATAGGGTCTTCCATTAGGGATTTCCGAACTTTGACAACTGATAACGTTGAAGCTACATCTGTCAAATTACTTGTCATTTATTCAGTCTGTTTGGCCCAATCACCATGGATGTATATAGCATTCTGTACCATCCGCTCCGCCAATTTCACAGTCGCTATAATCGTCTTAGCAAGAGGACTATTCGCAATAGGGTCGATAAAATTGAGTCCACTGGTTCAGTAAACGATCGGCCAATGCCTGTACATCGATGAAACGCAAGATCTGCCGAAAACATCGTGTGCAGGAGAATCCATAGCAGTCGATTCTTGTGAGCGTCGCTCACATGGTCATCTTACGTGGAGGTGATGTGAACTGGCCACCGAGATCGTGGGATTTTAGCCCGTTAGACTTTTTCTTGTGAGGTTTTCTTGAGTCGCAGTGGAATGCGAACAGGACACAAACCACATCCGTTCTCAAAGCCAACAGACACTTTGTTTTATTTAGATTTGAAGATTGGAAGCGCTTAATAAAAGACCCGTATGATATAACCACTCGTGGGATGTTTGGCAAACATCTAACAAAGCAAAATTTTCGTAGTCCTCACCCAATATTCGTCTCAGGCACTTTCGAGCAGCATATCCTTGCAAAACTGAACAAAACAACCCGTACCACACTGACCAAAGGTTGTTGAGATGGATTCCGCATTTTTTCTTAGATTTCTTCGGATTCGGTAGAGATTCCGTAGATTTTATTGCCTGGTAGCTGGACTTGCTGGAATCGCTCATTTTCTCGATTGACTTTTTGATATCATTGTTATTATCAAATTTTGTTGGTGTGCTTGGAGTAGAGTGCATCACTCAAAAATTGATTGTTGAGGAGTAAGAGGAACTCTGGACGGTGTCCTGTAACAAAAAAGAGTAGGTTAGTATGATTTGCAAATTGGCAGCTTACTTAAACACTTTATTAAATTTTTATTTATTTATTTATACACTGTTCTACAGGTTATAACAGGGATATAAGTCAAATCACAATACAATTACAATAAGGTATAAGATATAAAAACAATACATATAGAATTAGCTGAAGTAGAAAGACCTAATCTCAGAGATGTAATAGCAGAGATGTCGAGCAGACAACTTGCAGAATTGCATTTGGCACACATGTTATGCAGAGGTGAACGTTTCAGAATATTTGTACGTATTGTTAGCAGATAAAAAGGATTAACCACTCTAGAGGTTGGTCTAGGAACTTTAAAATCAGTTTTTACAGAATATGTGGGTCAATAAGTAAATTATGAATCAGTTTAAAAAAAAATGTGGAGTGAGAATCACGACAGCAACTTGAGCTATTCATAGTATGTCTAGCTAACAATGCATCATGGGGAAATCCAATTGGTGGATAGATATTGTCTGATCTATAGGAGGGAAATTTTATGAAACGACATTGTACTGATTCAACTTTCTCTGTATACAACTGATGAGGTGGATTCCAAATTATGGATGTAAATTCTAATTTTGATCTGACGAAAGCATAGTATAAGGTTTTCGATGTAGATGGCCACACGAAATTTCTGGAGATTCGTGCAATAAATCCATACACTCTGTTTGCAGCAGACAAAATGGCTTCAATGTGTGGTACAAAGGAAAGTTCGGTGTCAAAGGTAACACCTAGATCAGTGAATGTGAGAGGCCGTTGAAGTGGAATATTGTTTATTATCGATATGAAAATGGACAATTTTTTAGTGTGTACGTCATTACATTACATTTACTCGCGTTTAAAGGAGGATTATTGCGAAAACACCATTACTCTACACGTTTCAGATTGAGGGAGAGTTGAAGACCGTCCTCGATGCCATTGATCTCACTATACAATTTCAGGTCATCCGCTATATCAAACAGTTAATGTCAATGACCTCAACTATGTCGTTTATGAAGGCGTTGAAGAGAAGTGGACCTAGGTTGTTTCCTTGTGGAACACCTGAGTTAGCTGCATATCCACGTACTTGAAGCCATTGAATATATCATACTGATGCCTGTCACTGAACTATGATATAAAAAGTTGGATCAGAGTCAGAGAAAAGCCGTGCCTGTACAATTTCGATAGCAGCAATCCGTGATCGAGTCTGTAGAACGCCTAAAAGAAGTCCGTATATATGACATCAGCTTGGGATCTCCTATCAATGGTTTCAGAGATATATTGGATAACATTGAAAAGGTTGGTGATTGGTTCTTCCAGAAAATCACAGTTTATTTCATATATTCACAAGCTCACAGCTCTGAACTGAATTGTGGTGGTGTATTTTACATCACTCAATGAAAATTCCATTCTGTATTATTCAAGTTGAGAGAGAAAACAATATTCATTGGAAATGAGAATTCAATATTACTCAATATTCTTCGATATCCCAGAGAGAACAATATTCATTTCAATTCAAACAACAATAACGTCAGTAAATTTCTTTTATTGACGCAACTGCAGTGAATATCCTATTTCTGCTACTGGCATGTTTTTCAATGAAAATAGCAGTCATATGCAGCAGAGTTGTGGAAACTATTTTATATTATATGATATCAGATTATATAATCCTATGTTTATGATATCAGATTATATAATCCTATTTTTATGGGATTTCAAATCAGCGTTTTATCCGAGAGTTGTCAAGTAGTTTCAAGTTGCTTTGAAGCTTCAGAAAAGATTTATTTGGATGGAATTCTCATTGCATTTAATCTCGTAAAGGTCTGCATTTTCTTGAAATTGCATCTGGAATTTATCTCAGGAATGAGTTAATTGTGTAAAAAATGAAAATGAAAATGCCGTGTTTTGAGTAGAGTGGAGAGGAAATGGATGTCGTATTACACTACGTTCCATGAACACACTCGACTTTAATATAATAATACCAATAATAAATGATGGTAAATCGATTTCATTCACATTTTTGATAGACTTTTACAAAACGATATATAATAATTTGAGGTGAAGTGTCACTGCAAACTTTTTCCAAGTTAACCTAAAATTAGTTGATCAATTATTAAATCAATTAGAGGAATAACAAAACTGAAACAATATTGCGACAATAAATATATAGGACTCAATGATAAGTCATAAAGAAAGATGGACAATGGAAAATTCCAGAATATCAGAATATGTTCTAAAGTTAGGTTGAGAAGAAGAAATGCAAGTTTTTTTTGAAGTCGAATATATTGAAATCAGTAGCATAGAATATTTTGGAAACTACAAATATTAACTACATTAGAACTTCATAGAAAATGGATATTGAAAGAATGATGAAGTATAAAAATTACAATTGAGTGGAAAAAAATAATGAGTCAAAACGAATTTCCAATCATTCTGTTAACTCCATGAATATTGATTAGATTACTTAGAATGTTTTTATTTGTTTGTTTCAGTAAGTTCTATTATGGAAATGAAAATAGCTAACTTTAAAATTTTGTCGGCAAACTATAGTCTTCATCTCATTTTATTGAGTTCGATTTGGCCAAAGTTAACTACGACTAGGAGTCTATATCACTTTATTTTATAGAAAATTATTTAGAAAAATTTTTTCACAACGCTAAAAACATGGAATTCGATCAGACAAAGATTTGTAACGCCGAATTTAATTTCAACTTGATATAATAATTCAGATTAAATTTTTAATACTTTTATTTATCTTCACTTATATGTTTGTTTGTAACAGAAGCCTTTGGACTCGACAGATGTATTTTAAACTTTGTACACTTATCAATAATCGGTGTCAATTCAATAATTTCATAAGTTCATTTCATTATTTTGATCAAGATCCCAGTTTTGAATAATTTCCTCTCACAACCACACTTCTGCGCATGCGTAATGTTAAAACAAATGGACTTGAAATAGTAAGCCACACTGAAAAGTGGAAAATAAATGATAGTTTGAAAACTGAAAAAACACGCTTCAATAGCAATACGAACTAAAAAATTGAAACTAAAATTGTGTTCAACATCGATGATAAGTCCTATGGCTTGATGTAACTAATGACTTTCAATAAGTCTGAAATCAGAATAAATCTATTTACAAAAAAATAATTCTGTTGTAAAAAAGCGTAAGATGCTTTGAATTATATTTCTATTATGGCGCCAACCTGACAAACAGCTCCTAACCAAGTATTTATAACACTGGATATTTAGCACCTCACACTTTTTTACCAACAAAATTAGTTTTTCTGTAAATAGATTTATTTTAATTTCAGAGTTATTAAAAGTCATTGGTTGCATCAAGCCATAGGACTTATTAACGATGTTGAACACAATATCAAATTAGTTTCGAACTATTTTTCATTTTTTAGTTTGGGTTGGTATCCAAATTCGTTGATTCTGAGCTAGATATGATCTGTATCTGTATCTGTAGAGTACATTCTCCCGAGGAGTTGTCCTCCTAGGTCATCGTCCATCCTGCCCTTTCCAGGAAGGTGGACAGGTCGCTGGGAGACATCTCCTTTATATTGGCAGGTGTAGGCCGAACACACACTCCCTTTGGCAACCTTGAGGGGTCTCGCGGTGAACTCCGCGAAGGTTTTGGAAGGTGCAGCGACATTACTGTCGTTGCACGGCTTCCTCAACCTTCTTGGGGTTCCCTCCGTGGAGGTGCACAAGTGAGGGAGCTTTCCTGTAGGGGCAGCCGGTTCCTTGCCTACATTCAAGGCGAAGCTTTTGTCGTACGCCGCAGGAAGTGCAATTGCTGTTGGAGATGGAGTGGGGAAGGAGGAGGGTGCACTTATAGTTGCTGCCACGCCTGCCTCTATCGCTCTCTTTCTCCTTTTGGCCTTGGCGCCGCAAATGCCCTTACGCCTTGGCCTTTGTATTCCAAGCGGTAGATTGGGGTGGACATTTCTGTTCATTCCCAACCACCGCCTTAGATTGAGGTGGGCACTTCTGTCCAGCCTCGGGATTGGATTCTGTTTTTGTTGTTTCTGTTTTTGTGTTTGTTTCATTCATGTATGTTCCCACGATTAGCAAGGGAAGTGTTCGTCACCTCTGGCAGAGCCCCGCATTACCAGACGTAGGTTGATTACAATCCCTGCGGCTATTCAGTTGTCAGCATGATTCCTTGCACCTTAGCTTGGGTAGGCTGGTCCACGGTGACATGTTTTGCAAAGGCTCTTGGGAAGTTTCAGTTTCCCTCACCCTACTTATTTCTGCCATATTGGCTTCCCGGACAGGGCCTCCAGTCCTCTGGCCGTTCCCCTATCCGCCACCTGGGTACGCGCTCAATAGGTAACCCAATCCACTGGCTGGATATGATAATAAGGTAGTTTCTTGTTTCGTCAATTCGTGTTTCGTCACCTAGGGAAATTTTACCTGTTATGACCCATTTTATTCTTGTTTCGTCAACTGCAAAATATACCTGCTTAAGGTGTTCTTGTTTCGTCACCTCATCTTTGCACCTGCGCTAGTGATTGAGAGGCTTCTATTACGCATTTTTTATTTTCATTTTAAAAGTAATTGAATACGGTTTAAACAATTCGATTCCAAATAAAGTCTAGAAATTGGGAAAGTTTGCTTCTTCGAACAAAGAATCAAATCTTTCCTCTTTATAATATTAGTGTAGATTGTTGATTAATATAATATTATTGTAAATAAGCATTAAAAAGAATTTAGGCTTACGGACTTTTATTGCCCTAGTAGTCCCAGTTGACGAATGCGGAATAAATTATTACCTGCGAAAAGGTCAAAAAGTTACAGGTGACGAAACAAGAAATTTTGGGGCAGGTGACGAATCACGAATTGACGAAACAAGAACAAATCTGATAATAATAATAATAGAGTTTCTATATTTTCTTCGGCGTTTAGCATGGTTATTCTCCATCCAACCATTAACAAACAGTTGACAAGAGTGTTAGCATAATGAGGAGATGATTTTAGCT